AAGGGAGAAGAAAATAGAAAGAAAAAAATAGAAAACAATTAAAAACATTCTCATCTTCAACAGTTTGTAAGACCTCTTTTTTATCCTTATTTTATGCCATATACACACACCTAATACTTACATATATCTGTGTATCACTACTATGGATTTATCCTATCCTCTTTTGCCTTTTAGTGTGAAGTCTATCTTTGGTCTATCCATTTGTACCAGCAGTTCCAGCTGTTGTAGTATATTGAAGTGTATTTTTTAATGCCAAAGTTAATTTGTCCATTTCTGCACAACTTGAAATTTTTTGAATGATCACCTCCTCTGATGGAACATGAGGCTGCTTCCAACATTGTGCAAAAGCCAATCTGGCCGCTGTCAAAATGTGTATTATTATATATTTCACTTTTTTTGATATTTGTTTATCAAAGATCCCTAACAGAAAGGATTCTGGTTTGAATTCAATCTGTTATCTTGTCATTTCTTCCAGCCAATTTCTAATTTTCTGCCAATATTTTTGAGCTTCTGTACAGGACTACCACATATGGAAAAAAGTTCCCTCTTTTTTTTTTTTGCATTTCCAGCAATTCGGACTCATATTGGGGTGCATCTTCGCTAATCTCGAAGGAGGAAGGTGCGAACTATAAAACATTTTATAGGCATTTTCTTTGTATGCTACCGATTTTGTAATTTTATTATTTCTACCCCAGACCTTTTCCCATTCTGTTATGGTGATGCTACGTCCTATATTCCTACTCCAGGCTATCATGTTCCCTTTTACAATTTCTTCTTCTAATTCTACTTCTAATAAATAATTATAAAATTTTGTTATATTTTTTTTGCCTGATCCTAATAAAATTTTATCTAATTGCTGGAGTTTATTGTTAATTCTAAATTCTTTCTTGTCCTGTTTATATCTACTTTGAATTTGAAGATATTCCCACTGATCAATTTTTAGTCCCCACTCTTGAAGTTCTTGCCACGATTTCAAATTTCCTTGTGTATCCAATAGATCCTTATATTTAATCATTTTAGTGATATCCAGATTATTTGGGTGAATCATCACCTCCATTGTTGAAATCCAAATTGGTATTTTTAAATAGTGTTTTTTCCGTATTTTCTTCCAATTGGTTAATAATGAGTCTCTGATTAGGTGTCTGTGAAAATATTTCTGGCTAGTTTTTCCTACATCCCATAAAAAAGCATGCCACCCCCTTTGCAAGTCATGGCCTTCTAAGAATAATATTCTTTTATTGGTTAAATTCACCCATTCCTTCAACCATACTAAAGAGGCTGCACTATAATACAACTCCCAATTTGGAAGTGCCAGACCTCCCCTGCTCTTCATATCCTGCATTGCCTTTAAATTTATTCTAGGTTTTTTCCCTTGCCAAATAAATTTTACAGTTATTTTATTAAGTTCTTCAAAAAAAAAATTGTGTACTTTAATTGGGATCATCTGAAATATATATAGGAATTTTGGAAGAATATTCATTTTAATAGCAGAAATCCTGCCTAATAATGAAAGTTGCAGCTTGCCTCATGTTTCTAAATCCTTCTTTACCTGTTGCATCAATTTATCATAATTATTTTCTTTGTGTCTTACAATGTGCTGTCAACCATATTCCTAAGTATTTAACTTTCTTTATCACTTGTATTCCCATAACTTCTTCTAGTTCTATTTTCTGTTTTTCTGTTAAATTTTTAGTCATTAATTTTGTTTTCTTTCTATTAATTTTAAGTCCTGCAACTGCTCCAAATTGTTCTAATTCATTCATCAATTTTTGTCCTCTTTCTATTGGTTCCTCAATGAAAAAAATCATATCATCCGCAAATGCTTGCAACTTATATTCTTCTTTCTTAACCTTTAATCCTTTTATGTCTGGGTTCTGTCTAATTCGCATTAGTAATGCTTCTAACGATAATATGAAGAGCAGGCGTGAGAGTGGGCAGCCCTGTCTGACTTCTTTTTCTATTTTTATTGGGCGGGTATATTCCCCGTTTATTATAATATTAGCCTGTTGTGTATCATAAATGGTTGTTATAATATTTTCAAATTTGGTGCCTAAATTCATATTATAAATTTTTTGGACTAAAAATTGCCAATTTAAATTATCGAAGGCCTTCTCTGCATCTAAAAACATAAGTGCAATTTGTTTTTCGGGGTGGGCTTCGTAAAATTCTAAGACATCTAGTACTATTCTTAAGTTCCTGATTTGTCTGGTCGGGAGAAATCCATTTTGATCTTCATATATACGCTCATTTAACATTCTTTTTAGTCTACTTGCTATAATAGAAGTGAATATTTTGTAATCAGTATTTAACAGTGAAATCGGCCTATAATTATGTATATTTCGGGGATCCGAATCCTCCTTCGGGATCAGCGAAATCAATGCCCCCCTCCATGAGTCCGGCTTCCTGGCTGCCAATAAGACATCATTAAAAACTTCCACCATAAGAGGTCCTATTTGTTCTGCTATTGCCTTGTACAGCTCCCCTGGAATCCCATCTGGTCCCGGGGATTTATTGTTTTTCTGGTTCTCTATTGCTGATTTCAATTCAAACCAAGTAATGTCTTTGTTTAATATTTTTTCCATTTCTTCCCCAATTGCTTTATCTTTCACTTCATCTAAATAGTTTCTTATTCTATCTTTGTTAACTTCTTCCTTTTTATATAACTCTTCAAAATACTTATGGGCAATTTCTTTTTTCTGTTCTATCTCCTGTTGTATATCCCCCTTTCCATCTATTAGCTGGTATATCAATCTCTTTTCTTTCCTTTTTTTTAGTCTATATGATAGCCATCTCCCTGGCTTATTAGCATGCTCAAAATAAGTTTGTCTAGTTGTATTCAAATTTATAATCATTCTCTCTTGTTCAATTAAATTCAGTTTATGTTTAGTTATTATTATCTGATTTTGCAATTTTGAATCCTTTGGGGTACTCTGTAATTGAGTTTCTAATTCCTTAATTTTTTGTTGTAATTTGTTTTGCTAGGCGTATTTTTCCTTATTCCTCTTGGCGTTATAAGAGATTGTTATACCTCTTATTACTGCCTTCATTGTATCCCAAATGTTTTGTTTCATAGTTGCTCCATTATCATTTTTCTTTAAGAAATAATTTAATTCCTCCTTGAGTTTGTTGGTTTGTTCTTTTTCTCTTATTAACTGAGTATTTAACGTCCATCTTTTCTTGGGTTTTTCCCTACCCTTCCATATTATCTGAATTGGATTGTGATCTGCCCATTCATTAGGTAAAATTTCAATCCCTTTTATCTCATTTGCTATTTCCTCATTCATCCATGCCATATCAATTCGTGTCCATATTTGATGAGGATTTGAATATAATGTAAATTGTTTTTTCTCGGGATGTGATCTTCTCCATATATCAATCAAATTTAACGCCTTCATCATTTCCATACATATCTTGGGAAGCTCTCTTCCCCCCGCTTTGTTCTTCCCCCCATTACTGTGGTCTTTTTGATAATCAGCAATAGAATTAAAGTCTCCTATGATACAAATATTTCTTTTTTTCCAATCCTACTATTTTTCCATAAAGATGCTTAAAAAACTCTTTTTGATCTCCGTTCAGGGCATAGATTACCACTAAGAGAATTGGGATGGCATTAATCCAGATCTGCAAAACCAGAGTTCTTCCCTCAGAATCCGACCATATTAAATCTGCTTTCAAATCCTCTTTAACATATACTGCAATCCCTTTCTTTTTCCCCATGTCTGCTGGTGCGGTAAATAGCTTCCCTAATTTTGGACATTCTAGGTATTTTTCATCTGTTTTCTTTATATGATTTTCTTGTAGGCATATTATATCAGCATTTTGTTTGATTAGTTTAGCTATTATCCTTTTCCTTTTTATCATCGAGTTTAAACCATTTATATTAATTGATAGTAGTTTCTTTTCTTCTTCCATTTAATTAATTTTGTCTTGCTCTTTGTCTTGTAATGGCTCCGGTCTCTCCTTGTGCCTGAAAATGTGTCCTACTTTCTTCTCTCTCCTGATGTAGATGAGTATTTCCTTGATTTCCTAAAGTTCTATCTCTGTTCTTATGATAGCCATGTTTAATATAGGCCTTAATTTGGGGGGAGGGGCTTAATTTGATTTTATGCCTATAAAGCATGCTGGGACCTCCTATTGGGGGAGGCCGTATTGTTGGAGAAACATATATATATATATATATATATATATATATATATATATATATATATATGTATTTATATATTTATGCATATGCATATGCATATGCATATGTTATATGTAGTAGTTAGGAGAACATTGTTATTAATGTAAAATGTGGTAATTAAAAATGACTTTATTATGATAAACTTTTATAATGAATTAAAGGGAATAAAATGGAGGAATGTATAAGGTAAAGGGCTGGCAAATTGACAATGAAAGGGGATAACTTTTAGATAATTAGAATTTGGATGAAATTTATTGAACAATGAATGGAACAATAGTATGTGATAAACTTACAAATGTGACAGATAAAAGTAAATATGTGTAATGAGGATAGTAATGAAACCAGAATTTTGATAATATTGTAAAATAAGGCACGAGAATATTTAAAGAAAAATGAAATAAGCTACAAAATAAATTGAAATTGGATAAAATGAGTGTAATGAATATAATAATAAATGTGAATATTTAAAGAATGAAATAAGTAATAATATATGAAATTGAATATGAAAGCTGAATATGTAAACATGGTCATGTTTGTATTGAAATGTAAAAACCTGGAACTTTGTTCACCCAAAGAGATGTTTTTTAAAACATAAAAATAAAAAAATTATTGCTAGAGGATTATCTGTGTTTTGATATCCCAGACATTTCTTACACAATGCTATTACTTTTCTCTCTCCAAATTAGTCACCTGCTTTTTGGTGCCATTCACCTCCTTTACCACAACTCCTAGAATCAATAGTTAATAACTGCTGGGAATACAGGAGTTGTCTCTCAACTCCTAGGAAACTATTAGATTGGGGAACATTGCTCTAAATGCTGCGTATTAAATCTTACCCTGCCCAACACAGTACCTGTTTGAGTGTCAGATAGAATGCAGCAGTGGCTCGGGCCATCTCAGGGAGGACAACAGGAATCTTCACAAGTCTCTCTGAGAAGACAGTTAGGATCTGCCCAGCTTTCTTCACAAATTCTTCATGGTCAGTATAGCTCGCTGCCCGGAGAAGATTAGAAACTGCAACAGAGTTGGGGCTGGGTTCTGCACCATCTTGATCTATAACAAAGGTCAGTAAATTAACCGTTTTTTGAACTTAAAAAAATTTACACACTTTTTAATTAAAGGGTTTTTTGTAATGCTCTGACATCTTCTACACTGTAAAGCAAAAATGGGGGTGCAAAGGGGAACCAATTAACATTGTGCCATCACAATACAGGCACAGTCCCTTTTTGTATGGACATTGTGACTTGCATGCAAATACAAGGGGAGTGCAGCTTGCATTCCACTTTCATGACACTTATTTTCTCACATTGTCAGTTTCTTTCTCAACTGTCATGTTCTTCAATGTTTCAGCCTTAAGAGGTTCAATTTCTTTTAATCCCATTAAATTAAGTGGGGCCAAATCCCAATAAAATAGGAATAGGTGAGAACTGTTACACTGTATAATTGTCAGGGATTTGCTTCTGGGTCTTAGAATTCACACTGTGTGCTCCCCATGTCTGACTGCAGTCAGTCAACTGCTCTCAGGGGGCTTACCCAATTCCTATCTAACATCAGGCTATCTAGGACAATAGCCAAAGATCATTTAAGTCACATTATAGTCTACATGTACCCTGACGTTGTGCCAACTAGACTGTTCTACTTAATACCAACAAATGACAGCCAACGCTACTGAGAACATGTTAAATAACATAAAAGCATTAAAATCCAATAAATGTATAAGCAATAATAAGCTTGCTGCAGAAATACATTTTTTCTATTTCCTCAAGACTATGTGCCAAGAGAGATGCTTGCCTTATTCATACTTGCACAACACATTAACGTTCTATACTTGCAGCCCCACCACCAAGATTAAAAATTGAAACATAAATTAGGTCTTCTGATTAATCAGATCCCCTCCCCTTAATATCAGAAGGAACCTGGTCTACCATACAGTATTTATGTACATTTTGTTATAGAGAAAGACCAAGACGTTGCTAGACCAGCATTCCCAATCTTTCTAGGTTGGCAGCCTGGCGTAGGGAGGGAGAGAAAGAGAGGGGATGATTTTACACAGGGTGGATGAGTGTGCACACACAGCTTCATTTGTGTGAGCGCGAGTGGGGCTGTACTTGCACACATGCTTAACTGCTGCTGGTGCAGCCCAGTTCTGAATGGGCTGTAACCCGGTAGTGGGCCTTGGCCGAGGGGTTGGGGACCCCTGTGCTAGACTACCACAGTGCTAATCGAGAAAAGAATGCTAACTATTCTTACTGTGAACTCTCCCAATGGACAAGATACCTCCATCATCTCTACTAAGGCAATGCTGTAAAATTCTGAGGGCTGCAGGTTCATATTGGGGAGGTACCTGGTTGTAAGAGCTCCTAGCAAAGCTCATCCATATTCATAAGCACCTATCACAATGTCACTCAACTAAAGAAAAATTATACTATGCTTACAATGCAGTGTTCTTTGCCAAATAAAGCTTAACTTGCTTCAGCTAGCTTAGAAAGCCAGGAGACTGTGAGTTGTAGCCAGCTGAAACACATTTGTTCCTTAACTTTGCTTCAACTGCAAAGAGAGAGCAATATCAATGGTGGTAAATTGAGGGTTTTTCATCAGCCAATAAAAAGTCTGATTATCTTCCTGTTCATATATTTGATGCCTCTGCTAGTGATCCCATCTGTACCTGAGGTTAAGCATGGAATGAAGTGAAGGGGGCACTTTGAGATAGTACATGGTAATGAATGAGAAGTTGGAAATCTTCCTTTGGTTAGACATTAATCCAAGCTTGAGAAACAGTGGGATTTTTTTCCTTTGAGGTAATCTTTTAAGTATCCTGGAAATTTGTTACTAAAATAAGCTCAGGAGAAAATCCAAATTCTAATTAATTGTAAATTGATTTTTCCCTGCAATAACTGTTGAATAACTCTGTTCTAGGTGAGTTGTATCACTAATGCAGTACTCAGACGACAGACTGTCATTTAACCACCAGTAGAAACTGGAGTCACCTTCTGAAAGGAATACATACCATCCTTCATACGAAAGAGCAAGGAAGGATCAGCAGCTTCTGTAGAGAAATAGGCAAAACCTTTTGGATCCCAGAAGAGTTCATCTTGTTTATGCTGTAGCTGCACAGCCCATTCCAACCAGCTAGGGTTCAGTGTGGCTTCGTATAGATCAAACAGTGCTTGGATTACAAAGACATAGTCTTCTAAGAATCCATGGATAGGCACAGAACTGAAAAAAACAAAGGAGGAAAAAAATCCAACCTCATAGTAGGAGATCATAGTTATCATTATTAAATCTAATTCTTGCTATGAGCCCCACTATGAGCCCAAAATGTATGTGAAATATTTCCAACCATTTCTGATATTCCAAGGGAAGATCCGACTGTTTAAATGACATTCTCTAATATCCAGGCAGAACTCTATTTCTTTTGCCTTGTAGCAATGACTTTGACTTTGTCTTCTTCAATATGAGAATGAGAATTGAGAAACTATAAGTGTTCGTTCTGAGAATTTACTTCACTCTCATATCAGAAACTGCTGTAGAAGATTGGTACATAAGTCCTGCTGCATAGTCTAGCAGCATTTTATACAATATAGGGGGAGGGGTGTAATATTTTTGTGTGGGTATATACAAATATATGTATGTGTCTGTACACACATTCTCTCCCTACTCTTAGACAAGCATTTTCTCATTCTAGTTTATAAAATACTAAAAGGTATACCATTTTTAAAATTCTTCTTTTGCCTTGGATGTTTGGGAAAAAAAACAGCATAGACAATTCTGAAATTCAGTATAAATGTTATCTACCTTAGATGAAAAGTGAAGAATAATAATCCCCTTTTGAAAACAGTGGCTATTGTATTTTGGACACAAGGCAAGTAGAGAACCAATATATTTCTCCAAATGTGTGGACCAAATAAGAAAAATAGTACTTCAATCTCCCTTGAAATGATATTACAAAGGTGTAAAAAATTGAAATGAACCCAGGAGCAAAACATTTATCCATGAAAAGGTGAGCGCAAATAATTTCAACATAACCTCTTCAGTCTTCCCCTTGTCTCTTCTCACCATCTTTTCTCCCACCAGCTCAATTTGCTAGCTACTTAAGCAAAATTCAATCTGAGATGTAAAAAGCAGGTGCTGCTATCACAAATCAAGCAAATCACCCTTCCTTGCTGATTACCCCTAACTCTATTGATATATATGTAATTTGTGTTTGGTCAAGAGAAAAGCCAATTTTAAGATGGTGTAGCCTGTCAGAAAGTGGATATTTGCACAACTAGCCAATCTCCCAGAGGTATCTACTGGCTCCTATGAAAAGGCAAGAGGCAGTAAAAGACCTTATACTACAACAGTTTAAACTACAATGTACTCTAGGTTCTTCCACTATATATCTAATTTTAATCAAAACTTTTGCTCCTTCAGATGGAATCCTAATTGTCTGCCAAGGGAGGCTTATAATGCTTCCAGTGTTATTGGCTACTTTTACTCATCCACAGACAAGACACAGAAACAAATACAGCAGAGGTGGGACGCTACCGCTTCTAACGAGCTCTATAGAACCGGTGGCTCTGAAGAGCAGCAGACACTGAACCAATTCTGTGTTTGCTGCTGTTTGGCCCACCCGCCCTCGCAGGCTGTTACCTGACCTTTATTTCCTGGTTTTTTCAACCTCAGCTGCTTTGCGTGGCACAGTTGAGGTTGAAAAAGCCATAAAAAAGGGCTTTTTCAAACGCTGCGCACCCGCGCACAGCGCTTAACAGCTGTCCGGGCAACACAGCTTTAGGTGTATTGCATGCGCGCGCAAAACATAGTCACCAAACCGGTAGTAACCCCAGTTGAATCTCACACCTGAAATACAGGTTTTCAATGTCTAATCTTCACTATCTAAAACCTCCATTTACTCTTACATACACAATGCCCATTCGTATACACCCAACTTAAAGCATGGCTGGATTTCAAAAATTAAAGCAGGTTTTAATTCTTTGAATTAGAGTTTTAAAAAATTGAGTTTCAGAGAATTAGAGCAGGACCCCACTATGCAGACTCTTTGATTCTATGGAATGGCACGATTATTTGTCCTGGCAGTTTTCTCATGATTGGTACTTTTTCACCTCATCCAGTTCTCATGGGAATTATCTGATATTTTGAAAGCAACTTTTGCTACCGGTATATCTCCTTGAAAGCATCATTCCACCTAGACTAAGTAGGCTGCAATCTTCTAGAATAAGGCTTTCTGCCACTGTGGCCTGACCTAAAGGGGCTTTATATACTCCATCTTTCGTACCATGTATTCACACAAATATATGGTGCAGGTAATCCTCACTTAACAACGGCCCCATTTAATGACCATTCAAAGTTATGATGTGCTGAAAAAGTTACTTTGCGACCAATCCTCAGATTTATGATCGTTACAGTATACTTGTGATCATCATTTGTGTGCTTCACAGCTGGATTTCAACAAGCAGAGATAATGGAGAAGCCGGCAGTAAAATTGCAAATCATAGTCATGTGATGATTTGTTTAATGACTGCATTGCTTAGCAACACTTTCTTGCCCCAATTGTGGTTGTTAAGTGAGGACTACCTGTATAAAACCATATTATCAGTATACTGTGGCATTATCTAATGGTTGTCATTACAAGTTAGGCACACTGTACTAGTATCAATATGGTTATACATGATCAGCACACTCTATATGTCTGCAGTGAAATGTTGCTATCATTTAAATACTGACTCTCTATAGTACTTATCTTATAAGTGCAACCTGAAAATTGCCATCTGAAATGTAAACCATCCTCTGTTCAACCTCAGCCAAAAATAGCAGTATTTGCCTACTGGGTACTTG